CTTATTATTTATTTTTTTTATTTTTAAAAGTAATTTTTATTTTTTTTAATAAAAATTTAAATTTATTACTTATAAACAATATAAAAAAAGACAAAAACTCCAATAATTCCTATCAGACAGACTACGAAACCGGCTCTATGAAAAAAAGCTCCCGAAGCTGGAGAAAGAAAAAAAGTTGAACATCTAAATCAATAAAATCATGAAAATTGTTCTTTCTCTTTAAAAATAATTTTTATTTTTTAATAAAAATTTAAATTTATTACTTATAAATAGTATAAAAAAAATAAAAACTCCAAGAATTTCTATCAAACAGACTACCAAACCGGCTCTATGAAAAAAAGCTCCCGAAGCTGGAGAAAGAAAAAAAGTTGAACATCTAAATCAATAAAATCATGAAAATTGTTCTTTCTCTCTTTTTTTTTTTGGGTGTGATTATTGAGACGGGCGTAGAATTAGAAGAACGGTGTTCTGTCAATGTGGAAGCATATGCGTGTAATAATAGGGACCATGTGAACGCGTTACTCTTGGTCTTTCACATTTAATTGCACAACAAACGACGCCAGATTTTATAGGTGATTTAATAGATGCATTTAATTCTTTTAATAATAATTGAAACTTAAATCATAAAATTATTTTGTTATAATTTTTCATCTTTTACTCCAATTCTATCTGTTAAAAAAAGAAGAAAGTGCAACAAACGCCCTGATGTTACGTAGCTTTGGATCATATAAATCAAATGGTCGTAAAGAAATTTATTTTTCTTTTTCCTTTCGTTCTCAACCTATGTCATAATTTTTTTTAATATGAATAAAACATCGTCATAATTTTAAAATTTAAGTCATATATTTTTTAAAAAATATTAATATTAATGTGTTACGTACTACATTACCCAAAACTAAGGCAGTCGGGAAGAAATAATTAAGACAGAAATAAATGTGAACGTGCTGGGCCCAACTATGGTTCCACCCCAAATCCAACCACCCAAAACTTTTTTTAGGTTGAAAGAGGAAATTGAATAAACAGGAAATTGCGTTTTACGAAACGAAACGTTGTTCAAATCAAAGGGGTTTTTCAACCCCATCGTAGAATTTTTTTTTTTTTTACAAAAGTAATAGTTAAGAAATTAGTATAAATTAATTGTTAATAACTGAAATTCGATCCCAAATTGAATAAACATTCCACCCCCTTAAATGAGGCGTGTGGCCATCAAGTCGTTTTTTTGTGAAGTTCATGACGACGGTAGAATTCGAAACTCTGACCATTTCATTCAAACACTTAAAACTTGAGGTCGAACCATTAAACCTGAAGGTCCGATTCAACCACATCATAGATGAATTGAACTTCATATTACAAAACAATTGAATACAGTAAAAAACATAAAAGGGTATTTGTTTTGATTTTTTAAATTCACGCATTAACTATTTATTTTAATTAAGTAAATTAAATATTTTAAATTATAAATATCAATAATTATTAATCGTTAAATATTAATTATTTTTAAAAATTTAATCCAAACAGTTTATAAAATTGTTCTTGTATTGAAACGCCATACCTCACAAGTGAGTCAGCAACGTCACTGGCCTCTCTAAAGGCATACCTAATTAATTCGAGTGGCATGCAGCTTGGGATTTGTAAGCAGAGATTATATAAAGGAAAATGGTGAAGAGAGCAACTGGTCTAAGGATTTTTATTTTTTATTTTTATGGATTCCCCTTTTTTATCCTCGAACCTCAGTCTTGATCATGAGCTGCCCCAATTCTTAAGCAACTGGTTCAATTTGAATGCATAATGTTTTCATTTATTTATTTATTTAAACAAATTTATAGTTTTGGGTGATGAGAAGCGATGCGCTTTAAAGACCGATTTATAGTTGTTAAACAGTAAAAGGTAGGTGTTAATATTTTTATTTTTATTTTTTTTGAGCGGATTTTACAAGAAGCTGAGTTTGAACCCAACTTTAGGGGAGGGGACTAGGACTGGGGAGAATGCACCATAAATGGCTATTCTCATTTGGTCGAAGGGCTCGGTGCGTTAATATTTTTATTTATTGAAAAAATGTAATTCATAAAAGAAAATTTGGGTTGCAAATGTGAAATAATTAACGCTCTCGTCATTCCGACAGGCC